TTTTTTTTTAAATAAGAATGCATAGAAGTAAACAGAGAGACAAATATGTTGAATTTCAATAAAACAACTTTTGTAAGCTTTTCTTTTATAATTTTACAGTCGACAATCGTTTTTTAATAACTATGTATCCCACCCCATCAACATTTATATCTTTCTCTCTCTAGCTCTCTCTTTTCCTCACTATAGTTTCCAAAGTTATTATTTATGAACGCGAAAATAATCTATATTTTAATGACTTCGTTTTCAGCATATTTTATACCGAAGATATTTTCGACTATCAACACAAAACTTTTTCACGATTCGCTTTCCAGAACAGTCATAGTTTTGACAAAATCTGTTTCTTTCAATAACTGTTGAACCAAATATTCCACCTTTCAACTTTTCCATACACTATTCCTACAAATTTCACTAAAACAACATCCTTCCACGTCGAACACTTTGACAAAACTGAAAATATTTTTTTTTGTAAAAGTGATAAAAAAAAATATATATATTTATTTATATTTATACCCTGAACAGGGTATATTAAGTTTGCCACGAAGCTTATAACACTCAGAAGGAAACGTCGGAGAACCTATAAAATATAGGCATAATGAGCTGAGTTGATTTATGTCCGTGTGTCTTTAAGCTATCAGTCCCTCAGTTTTTAGGCTATTAATCTTAAATTTTGCACCTGTCCTTTCCTCACTAACAAGCTGCTCATTTGTCGGAACGGTATCAGACCACTATTGCATATAGCTGCCATACAAACTGAACAATCGGAATCAAGTGCTTGTAAGGGAAACTTTTTTATTTAACATATTATACGCACAAAACTTGGCATGAGTTATTTCCCAAGGCAACAATGTAATATCCGAAGAAATGTTTTAGATCAGATCACTATAGCATATAGCTGCCAAGTACTTCCGTGGAAAACTTTTTGACGAGGTATTTTCGCGAAATTAGATCGGAATCAAGTTCTTTTAGGGAACCTTTGTTTTTTTGAATTATAGCTTCGTTGCAAACGAAGTTAACGTTTTTTCTTGTTTATTACGAAAGTTAGATCCGTTTTGAAGCTGCCTTTTTAATAATTAAGATATGTATACATTAAATAAACTTTCAACGTCAAATGAACTTTCGTTATCAAAAGGGCTTCCAACAGAATACGCACATATTTACAATACAAGTAATTAATATGAGAGTGTTTGCCAATGAAGTTAGTAATAATAAAGCATTCCAGGCAATTTCAACAATTACAAAATCTTCACCATCTAACATTTGAACCGTTGAAAAAACTACAATACATAGTAAATACAAACTATACGAACAAATATAACACGTACATGCACAACAATATCATACAAGTATTTCCAAAAATGAAATCAATATTTTTTAAATAAATTTTTTTTTCGAAGACCTAACTTTGGTAACTTTTAGCATCCACTAAAAGCCCGGTAGAAAAATATTATACCTCATTAAAATGAGAAGAATGGATAGATTATGTACATATTTTTACTTTTTTAGTAAATTGTATATTATAATTAATAATGATATGTGAAACAAGCTTAATTTCGAACTTCGAGGACAAGTATATGTCACTTTAATATAGCATTTAAGAACACTGGAAGAAATCAATGTCTGTCAAATACAAAAGCCTTAACTGTTAATAGATACATATGTAATACATAATACAGAAGTCCCATAATTTGTAGTAGTACCCATATAGTATACATGGTGATTTAATCTAAACTAATGTTAGTTTGCTATGTAGGTATATGCGTCCGTGTATGTATTTAAAAAATGGTGTCCTATGTTATCAACACTTGGCATTAGTAAATATATTAAAATAGTTTTTTTTTAGTGTCATATCTCTTATACGTACACCATGGAGCAAGTATTTAAACTTACTTATCAAAAGGCAAAAACAATAACTCAGTGGGCACTGTTCAGAAGATACAATACTATATTAGACATAAGTATTAAAGCAAACACTTTCTCATTTCAAATAAAATAAATTATCGCATGATCTTTGGACATTCCTCTATTCCAAATGGTATATAAAGTGGTATATTCACTATTTTGGAGCAGTCCCATTCTTATTATTGGAAAAGCAAATTTTACAGAAATGTACTTCAAACAAGTATTCATTTTAAGCTTCATCTTTTTTGCGGTGAGGGTGATATTACACAATTTAAAACAGTTATACATAATTAAATAATGATTAACTATTTCAGAGCGTCAGTGCTCGTTCAATACGTGAGGTTGCATCTAATCAAGAAGCTCCATCGATTTTGAATTTATTTGAGACTATTAATGAGAATTTTAAGAAATTTGGAGATACGGTTTCAAAGTCATTTAACGCACAAAAGTTTGAAGAAAGTGGACGAGATGTTGCTAAACAATTAGATGAGTGGGGTGCAAATATCAAAAAAGAGGTGAATTTGATAAGTTAGTAGATCAAATTTTTAAACTTATTTTATTTATTTCAGACTGAAAACTTAAAAGATAACGAAGCTGTCAAGAGTTTAAGAGAATCTGTAGATAAAGCTTTAGAAGAAATCAAACAATCGCCTGATGTAAAAGTCGTACTTGAAAAATATAAAACTGGAGCAGATGCGTTTTTAGTCAAAATAAACAAAATAAAGGAGACTGAAGAACCAAAGTTGCAGGGCCTTTCCCAGAAGATTTTGGAACAAACCACTACAACACTGCAGGATATTGCCAATATTTTTCAACAAGATGTAAAACAATAAATTAATGCTTTAATATAGCTGCGCGAAAAATACCTAAGTGCATATTTTCTTAAAAAATAAAATTTAAAGTGACTATTTACGATCGTGACGCAACTGCCTTAAATTTAAATATCACCTAATCTCTGAACTGTAGTTGAGTTTTTAGTATTACATTTAAGATTTAAATTGGTTGAATTCTGTTTGGAGCTATAGGAAATAAACCCTGTTGCATAGAATATAAAAGATTTATTCACAAAAATTGTCAAAATCGGATAATAACTTGTCAAGCCACTAGATGCCGAATTTGTGAACCCCAGTGCTAATGGTTGACCTTTAAAAAAAATATTGGTCAATCTGTGAGACATACTTTTATGTATTACTTTCGGAGAAAAACTTTTGTGTCAAAAATGGATAATATCGGGTAAATACTAAACTACCAGCTGCCCTTCACATAATATAAGGATTTTTAAACTTTTAGTTGGTTTTATATTGTATTTGTATAGCAGACGGCATCCATATACAGTCAAACCTCAGTAAGACAGAAATGGGTAAGCGAGGAAACTCTATGAGAATAATTCTCCGGTCCCGAACTTTGACTTCTTAAAAACCTCTATGAGTTTAAAAGAAAAAAATCCATAAGTGACAGCCTTTTTCCCACTCTGACCTCTATAACAGAGAGCCGCCCTTGTATTTACCTCTATAAGCGACAATTTTCCTTTGTATGATTCATTCTTTTTTTCAGGAATCAGGAACCATGTGGTTTTCTTAAAATTCATGAAAATAATATTTAATTGTATTCACTTATTTGTCATGCTCCCTGCAGTTCATAAATACCATTGCATCAAACGGTACAGCTCTTACAACAACTTATAATGTCTAAACGAAAAATCAACTTGTTGTCGAGTTAGTGAGAAGCCTCTATTAGCGATAAAGAAATCATGGTCCCTTGAACTCTCTCTTAACCAGGTTTGACTGTACTACATATAATGATTTTCAGTCTAAACCTCCTATCCCTTTTATAATGATTTCCGATCCTCTGCTTGACTTCTCCTTATATAACCAATATACACAATTTTGTCCTTTGGTTTAGTTTATATCACAAGTATGTATTTCATTTGAGGTTGATTTTAATATCATATTTTCAAGCTTCTCCAAAGAGTTGAGTCAATATTCCTCACAGCTCTAGTAAAACCAGAGAATGTTAATGAATAGAGAAGGAGCAAATGTTAACTGAAAACTTTTTGTGTACTAATTTGTAATTCCACATGAGGGAACATCGAAAAAATATAACTTCGAAAAAGAAAAATACACCACACAATGTGCGAAATGCTATAAATAGACACAACGAATATTCCTATATGAAAAATCGTTGCGCATACCTATTTAGATTTATGTTTTCAATTTCTATGATATGACAAATTTATAATTATGAAAAGCCTTTTGAATTAAAAAGGAGGGTTACTGGCAAAAACCCCAGAATTCATAATCAAATAACCTTTGATATGCAATTTTTCCAACTTTTGTATATGCGTTGCGTAAGCAATATACTTATCAAACAAAAGATAACAATAAAACAGTGGCTAAGCGGCCGCGTTTCCACTTTTGTGGTGGCTTAGGTCGTAAGCGCGAAGGAGTTAAGCTCAATCTTAATACGAGCACATACGTTCGAATCGTAAAATACATAAAACTCAAAATTTTATTTAATTTTTTTATTTTATTAATTGGAGTCTAAGCATATCATAATTCAATTTCTTTAATAGCATATTTTACTTCCTAATATAATTAAAATATATCAGGAAAATATGTTCATATGATTAGGTTTACACACATACATTCTTAAATACACGTACGCAGACGCAGATTCTTGCCGCGCACAAGCAATGACTTTTGTCTACGCTTTTTGCTTTTTGCGGGTTGAACGATCGCAGGCAAGGAGGGATTGGGGCGCACTGCCACATAATTATTTCAGATATATATTTTATTTATCGAATTTAGTTTAAAAACGATTATAGGTATGAGTTTATGTGTATTCATATATATTATAATACGAAAATAATTCATAAATGAATCAGTATTTTTCAATACAAATTAAGCAACATAATAATATACTAAGAGTCCTCAGTTAGAACGCCTCTGTGTATAGTGGCAAGCCAACGAAATAACGGCGAGTTCGCGCAGACATTGTGTTGTTGAAAGTATATAAATGACGATTTTGTCGACAAACATACATATATACATATGAGCTCGCGTACATATTGACACTGAATTTTGCGCATCGTGGCGGAGTTGACAAAATTTGTTTCAATCGACAATTTTACGACAATGTCGATCGGCTATGTTGTCTCGTTTGTCCTTTTTGCAGGGCTTTGCTGTTGAAAATTGACTTATGCTCTTTTGAAATATTGCGTTTACCGATTGCGCTGCATTTTCATAGCGTCGTATTTAGATAAAATGGGCTAAATTGACAAACTATGAAATAATGATAATAAGTAAACATATAAAGGTACTATATGGAGGGTGCTTAGAATATATAGAAGTAGTTAATGATTTCATATGAATGGCAATTTTATATAAATTTTATAATTTAATGCCATAAATAGTGCATAATATGAAAAAAATTAAAATAATATTTCAAATCGCTAAGAGGTCATGTTGCCAATTCTCCTTTCTGAAGGGAACATCAGACAAATTCTTCAATTTCTGATTTTTAACAAATGTTGTGAGGCAGCAGCTTGTGGGCAACATACAAATGCGAGGGGAATGGAAGGATCAGTTGTAAAATTGAAACTTCTTCAATTTTACTGAAGACATTCAAAATTCAACTTCATTCATTCATTTTTTATAAACTTTTGCGTAGGAATTCTATATGCAAACCAAATGTGGTTTACCAGGCGCACAGAAAAAATAGCGCGGCGCAGAGTTATGAACGAACGCACTTTGCTTTGAAGCAGACGCACGTTCCTTATGAATGAATTTGTTGTCGTTGTAATATGAAATACTTAGAAAATAAGCCTCGAGTTCGCTTGAATATTATTGGCCGATGGTGCGTCTACGTTTTTTTGTCACTTGCGCGAATGTTTGATTTTTTGCGAAAGACATATTGAGGGACATACGTATGTACATATATGCAAATATATTTGGACATGCGAATGAAGGAAGGCAATTTCAAGAATATTCACATATCGACATATGAACATTTGAAGCAAGTAAACAGCAATAGCTGTTTGAGTTCACAGATTAGACAATTTTGCTCGAATATTGTCTATGGTGCTGCTTGTATAGCACACTTCTTTATGGCAATGTAAAATATTTTGCCTAAGTTCAAATCCTATCAGATATTTTTTTATACTCTTTTTTTATTTTTATAACCCTTTTTTATTAAATGATATTTGAATTCTAATTTCATTATTATTTCCCTCATTATTTACATTTTCTTTTCATAAGTCAATTATTCTCCATTTTATTACTTTAATTTTTGTTTATGCGCATATCAAAGAACATCTCTGCATATGTATGTATATACCTTATAGAGAGTGGTGTAGTTCGTTGCGGAAATTGACAGGTGTGCAAGTTCGAAAATAAAATTTCACCACAACTATCAGGGTACGAAATGAACTACACCACTCTATAAGCAAAATGTATATACATATATATGCACAGATGTTCTTTGGTATGCGCATAAACAAAAATTTAAATAATAAAAACGAAAGAAATTGACTTCTGGCAAGAAAATATAAATAATGAGGGAAATAATATGAAAATAGAATTAAAATATCATTTAATAAAAAAGAGATATAAAAATAAAAACAGAGTATATAAATATATCTACTAAGATTTGAACTTAGGCAAAATACTTCACGTTGCAATAAGAAAGTGTGCTATACAAGCAGCACCATAGACAATATTCGATTAATATTGTCTAATCTGTGAACTCAAACAGCTATTGCTGTTTACTTGCTTCAAATGTTCATATGTCGATATGTGAATATTCTTGAAATTGCCTTCCTTCATTCGCATGTCCAAATATATTTGCATATATGTACACATATGTACATATACATATGTATGTCCCTCAATATGTCTTTCGCAAAAAATCAAACATTCGCGCAAGTGACAAAAAAACGTAGACGCACCACCTTTGGCCAATAATATTCAAGCGAACTCGATGCTTATTTTCTAAGTATTTTATATTACAACGACAACAAATTCATTCATAAGGAACGTGCGTCTGCTTCAAAGCAAAGTGCGTTCGTTCATAACTCTGTGCCGCGCTTTTTTTTCTGTGCGCCTGGTAAGCCACATTTGGTTTTCATATAGAATTCCTACGCATATGCGTATAGAATTCCTACGCATATTGAGTAAAACGAGAAAAATTCAATTTTACAATTTGACAGCCACCACTGAAAATCCTACCATCCCCCTCGCATTTGTATGTTGCCCACAAGCTGCTTCCTCACAACATTTGCTAAAAATCAGAAATTGAAGAATTTGTCTGATGTTCACTTCAAAAAGGAGAATTGGCAACATGACCTCTTAGCGAGTTTAAATAATATTTATATTTTTGCATATTATGCACTATTTATGGCATTAAATTATAAAATTTATATCAAATTGACATTCATATGAAATCATTAACTACTTCTATATATTCTAAGCACAGTCCATATAGTACTTTTATATGTTTACTTATTATCATTATTTCATAGTTTGTCGATTTAGCCCATTTTATCTAAATACGACGCTATGAAAATGCAGCGCAATCGGTAATCGCAATATTTCAAAAGAGCATAAGTCAATTTTCAACAGCAAAGCCCTGCAAAAAGGACAAACGAGACAACATAGCCGATCGACATTGTTGCAAAATTGTCGATTGAAACAAATTTTGCCAACTCCGCCACGATGCGCAAAATTCGGTGTCAATATGTATGCGAGCTCGTATGCATGTATGTATGTGAATATGTATGATTGTCGACAAAGTCGTCTTTTCGTTTTTTTCAACAACATAATGTCCGCGCGAACTCGCCGTTATTTTCTTGGCTTGCCACCATGCACAGAGGCGTGTCAAGTGAGGATTCATAATATATTAATATGTTGCTTAATTTGTATTGA